CTATTCAAAATAAAAAAACTTCATAGGTGACATCACTGGCTTTACCTCCACTATCTTATACCTAAGCCCTGGTTCTCTTCAATATCTGTGAAATCAAAACTAAAATTACTTGATCTCTGAAGTGTGCACTGTAAAGAGAAATGAGTGACTTCTTGATTCAGTTGAGACTATATTTACAGGCGTACTTCATTTTATTGCACTTTGCAGATACTGTGTTTTTTATAAACTGAAGGTTTGTGGCAACTCTGCAACAAGCAGTGTATGGGCATCAATTTTCCAACAGCATATGCTTACTTCATGTCTCTGTGTCACATTTTGGTAATTTTTACAATATTTCAAACTTTGTCATTATTATTATATCTGTTGTGGTGATCTGTGATCAGTGATCTTTGATGTTACCATTGTAATTATTTTGGGGTGCCACAAACTATGTTCATATAAGATGGCGAATTTAATCAATACATGTCGTATGTGTTCTGACTGTTCTGCTGACCAGCTTTTCCATCCCTCTCCCTATTCTCAGGCCTCCCTATTCCCTGAGACACAACAATATTGAAAGTAGGCCAATGAATAACACCACAATGGCCTCTAAGTGGTCAAGTGAAAGGAAGAGTCTCACGTCCCTCATTTTAAATCAAAAGCTAGAAATGATTAAGCTTAGTGAGGAAGGTATGTCGAAATCCAAGACAGAACAAAAGCTAGGCCTCTTGCACCAAACGGTTAGCTAAGTTGTAAATGTAAAGGAAAAGTTCTTTAAGGAAATTAAAAGTGCTACGCTGGTGAACACATGAATGATCAGAAAGTAAAACAGCCCTATTGCTAATATGGAGAAAGTTTAGAGGTCTAGGTAGAAGATCAAACCAGCCATAACATTCTTTTATGCCAAAGCCTAACCCAGAGCAAGGCTCTAACTCTCTTCAATTTTATGAAATGATGGGAGAGGTAAGAAAGCTGCAGAAGAAAGGTTTGAAGCAAGCAGAGTTTGGTTGATATGGTTTAAAAAAAGAAGCCATCTCCCCAACAAAAAAACACAAGGTAAAGCAGTAAGTGCTGACATAGAAGCTCCAGCAAGTTATTCAGAAGATTTAGCTAAGATCATTGATGAAGGTGGCTGTACTAAACAATAGATTTCCAAAGTAGATGAAACAGCCTTCTATTGGAAGAGGATGCCATCTAGGACTTTCATAGCTAGAGAGGAGAATTCAATGCTTTGTTTCAAAGCATGATGACTCTGTTGTTAGGGGCTAATGCAGCTAGTGACTTCAAGTTGAAGTCAATGTTCATTTTTTTTTTTAATTTTTAATTTTCAATTTTTTAAATTTCAGAAAATTATGGGGGTACAAACGTTTTGGTTACGTGAATTGCTTCTGTACAGTTTGAGTCCAAGTTGTAAATGTGTCCATCACCCAGATAGCGTACCCGGTAGGTATCAATTTACCCATCGCTTCCTCCCCTCTCCCACCTGCCAATGCTCATTGACCATTACAAAAATCCTACAGCCTTTAGGAATTACGCAAAATCTACTCTGCCTGTGCTCTCTAAATGGTATAACAAAGCCTGGATGACAGCACATCTGTTTATAGCACAATTTACTGAATATTTTAAGCCCACCATGGAGACCTAATCCTCAGAAAAAAAGATTCCTTTCAAAATATTACTGCTCATTAACAATACACCTGGTCACTCGCGAGCCCTGATGAAGATGCACAAGGAGATTAATGTTGTTTTTCATGCCTGCCAACACAGCATCCAGTTTACAGCTCATGGATGATGGAGCAATTTTGATAATTAAAAGAGTGCAATTGGTGTTCCTAATACAAAGAAATGATAAAGGTTTGAGGTGATTAATACCCCAATTATCTAGATTTGATTAATACACATTGTATGCCTGTATCAAAACATCACATGTAATCTATAAATATACATAAGTAGCATGTAACCATAATAATTAAACACAAAAATTTTTTAAAACAGGAGCAATTTCAACTTTCAAGTCTTCTTATCTAAGAAATATATTTCATAAAGATATAGTTGCCACAGATAGTGACTACTATGATAGATCTAGGCAAAGTAAATCGAAAACCTTCTGGAAAAGATTCACCATTCTAGATGCCATTAAGAAGATTTTTGATTTGTGGGAGATTAAAATATCATCAAGAGGAGTTTGGAGGAAGTTGATTCCAATTTTCATGGGTGACGTTGAGGGGTTCAAGACTTCAGAGAAGAAAGTAATTGTAGATACGGTGGAAATAGCAAGAGGACTAGAATTAGAAGTGAAGCCTGAAGATGTAATTAAGGAATTGCTTTTTATGGATCAGCAAGGAAAGGTGTTTCCTGAGATGGAATCTACTCCTGGGGAAGATGCTGTGAACACTGTTAAATGACAACAAAGGATTTAGACTATTTCATAAACTTAGGTGATATAGCACTGGCAGGGTTTGAGAGGATTGCCTCTGATTTTAAGAGACGTTCTACGATGGGTAAAATGCTATCAAACAGTGTCACATGCTACAGAGAAAACTATTTTGTGAAAGGAAGAGTCAATAGATGAAAAAAATTTCAGTGTTGTCTTATGCTAAGAAATTGCTGCAGCAACCTCAGCCTTTAGCAGTCATCACCCTGATCACTTAGCAGCCATCAATATTGAGGCAAGACCCTCTACTAGCAAGAAGGTTAAGCCTCACTGAAGGCTCAGATTATTGTTACCATTTTTTAGCAATAGAGTATTTTTTATTAAAGTATGTACATTGTCTTTTTAGACATAATGCTATTACATGCCTAATAGACTACAGTATAATGTAAACATTTACATGCACTAAGAAATTTAAAATTCATGTTACTTGCTTTATTGTCATATTCATTTTATTGCAGTGGTCTGGAACTGAATCTGCGATTTCTCCAAGTTATGTCTGTATATATTTCTATTTCTATTTCTATTTCTATGTATGTACATAAGAGGCATATAACAAATGATGATAATTAACAAAATATTTCACTAAATTTTAAAACAATAATTTCCTCAAAATGAGATCTTAATGTCATTTTTACCTTTCAATTTCTTTTTCCTGTGGGTTTGAAATCATTAACTTTGCTTTGTCATTTTCATCAGCAAAGGCTTTCTGTTTTTCATAGGCTTTTAGCTTTTCTTTTAACAATAAAATCTAGTGAAGAGAAAACACTAGTTAAAATACAAAAGAAGTTTTGTCTCCATTTCACATGACCACAGAAAAATTTTAGCTGTGAAAAATAACTGAATTAACCAGATTTTAATTGTAATAGAAAACTATGTTAAATTTTTGGACAATTAAGATTACAAAATCCTATAAATGAGGAAGTGAGGAGATTAGCATAAAAACATAAACAGTAGACATACCTCTGCCTTCTGCTCATTACATATCTTTACATATTGAGTTATATGATTATCGAGGTTAAGAACATTGCTCTTCAACTGTTGAAAGATAGAAATTATGATTGTGTATGACATAATAATCACATGAATATATACATGAACAAAACGGCATGATATCCTCATTAATTAAGTTCAATGAATTCAGAATTTGTGACAATTATGATTACATGGCAATCATGATAATTATG